CTATAGGCCATGCATATAAATATAGAACATTAAGTAAGGATTTACACGCAGTTAATATAGTATATTTCCCAAACTCTACACCCATAAGATTAAAATTCAACACAATAACATTAAATTATGAAACAAAATCCCCTTAAATGTGAAGTAAATTTACCAGAAAAAATATCTTCACTAATATTTATGACGCGAGATGCTTTGCTGATACCACCCCTAGTTATATGGAATAGTCTATCAAAGACATCTGGATGACCATAATGCATACGAACCCTGATGATCATTTCAAATACAAGTTAGACATACTTTTCTTTCATAGTTCAATGATTACTCTATAAATGCCATGGAACAACAAATATTCACGATTAATGTGAACTCACTTCAAAGGATTTGCTAGAACACGTTGGCCAAGAGTCACAAAGCTAGATTCCTGATTAGACATGAAGGATGCTAAAGAAGCAACACTGAGAAGATGCACAAGTTTAAAGAGTCAGAAGCCTAAACAAATGAACTCTATAAGGGACAAAATGCCTCTAATACCATACCTTCCAGTAAACACATGCTCCCTAACACCAAGAATAGTAGGGGGGCGAACTCCATGGTCACGGTAAAATTCTTCAAGAAGATTTCTCACCTTCAAAGCCTCCTCAAAGTAATTATCCTGTCCACATACAAAGAGAAATAAATAAAAACATATACCCTTTCCATATTTGGCAAATGATTTTAGATTAAATGTCATATTTACCCTTTCCATAAAACCCAACTTCTTCACCTCCTTCATCAATCGTAGATCTATTTTTCCCTACATCTGCACCGCTGCCTCCTCCAGACTCCATCGCTGCTGCCTCCAGCCTGGTTGGTCTTCATTATCGATTGCGCAGTCCCCATCATTGTTGCCGTCTCGAGCCTCCATTCTCGTCACCGCCTCCAGTCTCGTTGGTCTACACTATCGCCGCCTCCTCTGATCTATCCTCCCGCATCCCCGCCGCTAGCTTACAGTCTCGTCCTCTACCGGATTCAAGAAAGGGAAGCTGGAGTCGTCCCAATTTCGCTTAGATTTTCTCTTCCTCTATTTCTTTTCAGATCTGATTTTTCTTCCTTGATGGATTAAATTTGATTTCTTCTTTCTCTTTCTTCTCTTTGTTTTCTTTCATATTCGATTTCTCATACATACATACATGCATGCATGCATGCATGCATGCATGCATGCATGCATGCATGCATGCATGCATACATACATACATACATACATACATACATACATACATACATACATACATACATACATACATACATACATACGGCTAAACAGATCACTGCCTAAGAACACATTAAAGACTCTAGTTTCATCTCTGATACAAAATTGACAGCACCTAGAAGTTTGCCAAAGCAGATCTAATGCATATTAATTCTACAGAATAAAGGAACCAAGTTGTCAATCTTGAGATATTAAGGTTTAACAAGAAGGCAAAGGCAGAAAGCAATAAAGATCAAGCTTGGCCGAGGAAGTGCAGCATTATCAATGACCACAATGAAAAAAATGATTACTACAAAAAATTATCAGAAAAAAGAATGAAATAAAGAGAAAGCATGATGAAGAGGTAACACATATGTGTCAATGTAGGAGAAATCGCCTTCTTCCGATAGTGAAGTAACAGTTAGTCAATGCAACTTTTGAAGCTCATCAGTCATCATGGGTTGTCTTGAAACAACCGCTCTATGTTTTAAACATAAAGGTCAAGGTTCAGGGGTAATGTTGTTTTATAAGACTAGACAAGTCACTGCCTTGAAACACGTTAAAGAGAGAGTTGCATCC